TTTAACTTTTTTATTTAGCTTTTATTGACTTTTTTATTTTACTTTTACTTCACTTTCTTTTATTTTACTTTTTTTAATTTCGCTTTTTTATCTTTTTTTTCATTATTGTTTTGACGATACGTGGTTTCTGAAGATAACTCAAGCTCGAAACCGGGAACCGTGCCACGACTAGTACCGGTGGAAGAGTGATGGGTTGGGTTCACTTTCTCAACCAACCGGTTGGGGTGTGTTTTTTCAACCAATGAGATACACTTCTACGGATAAGTAGAAGTGATTATCTCTGAAACCAAGTATTTTCTTTATTTTTTTTTTTTGTTTTTTTTGTTTTTTTTGTTTTTTTTTAAAAAAAATTAATAAAAATTTAACAACAAATTTGGCAACGATCCTGTCTAATAACTAAACATGTTGTTACACGTCTTTATAGCTAATTTTATAAACTCTAAAAACTAATAAAAATTGATCGATAATTAGATTTGAACTTGGTATTATTAGCATTAATAACAACGCATCTTTTATTGCTAGTAATAAAATGGCGGCGTTTTATAGTGCTGAAGCCTTAGATGTTAGTTTGTTACTGTAGTATTAAACTTCGATGAGAAAATGGTATAGTTAGCATAGAAATTATTATAATGAACGATTAAGCGTTAATATACGAATAAATAGAATGCGTTAATTTTACATACAACTCAAAGTTATAAGAAAAGTAATATCAGATAAGCCGGAATATAATTACTAATATTTATTGTAAGCTATTCAATAATGTGAAAAAACATACGATGTGATCAAGATTTACGATGTAAGCATCTTATATCTCGTTTTTACTCTTGATTCTGGTTTCATTTTTCATATGCGCAAAAAATTCGGGCTTGACGTTATAACGGTTTATTCTACTTTGATATCAAATTGGATTGATCTACGAATATCAATTTGGGGTACGAATTTTCTTTTTTAAACTTTGACATATCTGCGTTAACTTTTCATTTTTGTTGGGCTATATAATTTCGTTTTCACTTGCGCAAAATTATGTGATGCCATATAAGGAAATTTACTAGTTGACATTTTTTTATAAAAGATTTTTGTTAAATTTAGCAGGCTGTGATATCGCAGGTTAATATACTTTTAAAATTTATTATTAGTTAGGGTTAGGGTTCGGCTAGTATTAGGATTAGAATTAGAAGGCATATA